GCCCCCACCCCCCCCCAAACCGCAAACCCTAAACCCTAAACCCTAAACCCTGCCTGCTGGAGAAGCAGCTCGTCGTGCTTGTTGGAGGGCTCGAGGAAAAGCCCGTGGAGCTCGCGGAGCTGCGCAAACTTGCTGCGCAGCAGCGCGTCAAATGCTGCTGTTGCGTCTTGTGGGGCGTTTTGAACAGCAGCAAAAAGTGTGGGGTCGAACGCATGCAAGTGCTGTAGAGACACCCCAAAGGCCAGCCGCTCCCCACAACCCCGCGACTCCAGGAACCGCAGCAACTTCCGCATGTACAATCCCGATCCCCGATCCCCGATCCCGATCCCGATCCCAGAGTCCTCGCCCCACTCCCCCCGAGACAGCTCCAGGTCCTCCTCCGACGCCGTCACCACTGCGCACGCCGCCCCACAAACCCTAAACCCTAAACCCTAAACCCTAAACCCTAAACCCCAAACCCCAAACCCCAAACCCCAAACCCCAGACCCAGCCCAAACCCTCGACTCCGAACTCCCCGCGCGGAAGCGCGTTTGGCGTCGGTTTTTGGCGTGGCGAGCGCGGCCTAGGGTTTAGGGTTTAGGGTTTAGGGTTTAGGGTTTACAGCCCGCGTAGTCCTCGAGCACGAAGGTCTCCAGAAACCTCTCGAAAGCCTTCTCCAAGTCCGGCCCCACCACTTCCCGCGGCAACTCCGGCAGCCGCTGCATCTCCGCGTCCAGCAGCAAAAACTCTCTCCCCATATCTCCCAAGTCCGCCCGCGCGAACTTCACTCTCCGCACGGCCAGGGGGGTACTTCCGTACTCGCTGGCCCCCGCGGAGGACCCCAGGGGCCCCCTGCGAGAAACCAACGCCCAGGGAGCCACCCAGGGAGGAAGGGCCTCCGGGGAAACCCGCTACAGAGGCTGAGCAACACACGCTCGCAAGGCGCACCAAACCCTAAACCCTAAACCCTAAACCCTAAACCCTAAACCCTAAGGACTGCGGGAGGCTGGGGGTGGACTTTCAGCGCTTTCGAACGCTGCGATCAGGGAGGCCTGGGAGCGCCACAGAAAGTCCAGGGCGACGGCCCACGGCTGCAGCGACCCGCCGATGCTAGGGTTTAGGGTTTAGGGTTTAGGGTTTAGGGTTTACACTGCCTGCGCCGGGATATGGGAGACGCAGCTGAACCCGCAGCAGCGGGAGGCTCGTTGGCGGAGGCCCCCAAAGTGGCCTGGAAGGGCGAGGCCACCTGGCGGGGCCGCGGGGGGGTGAGGTCTTCATCCATTTTGCTGCTGCTGCTGCTGCTGCTGCTGCTGCTGCTGCTGCTGCTGCTGCTGCGGGGCTGGCGAGGCAGCAGAAGCGCTGCAGGCGCGAGAAAAGGGAATTGTTGACAGAAGAAGAGGCTGCAGAAAGAAGAGAAGACGAAAAGTGGCGAAGAGGAGTTCCGGGAGGCAGCCGGGGAGGCTGGGTGGAAGCAGCAGGTGTCTGTACACCTGAAACGCGGCGGCGGCGCCGGACTTCTCCCCAGTTTTTTATTTATTTACAAAAAATAAACAAAAAAAGAAAACTTCGCTGCTGCTGCAGCAGCAGCAGCAGCAGCAGCAGCAGCAGCAGCACCAACACCAACCCCCCCGAGCAACACCCACCAGGACCCACACTGGGCTCCCCTTGCTGCTGCTGCTGCTGTTGTTGCTGCTGCTGCTGCTGCTGCAGCCAGCAGCAGAAATTATTCTTTAAAAACGTTTTATGGAATTTTCTAACACAAATTTCAAGTCCCTTGCCGCCCAACTCTTCGTTGCTATTGCTGTTCTTCCTGCTGCCGCTTCGCTGCTGCTGCTGCTGCTGCTGCTGCTGCTGCTGCTGCTGCTGCTGCTGTGTGGGCAGCTAAACACTGCCGCAAGGACGAAGGCGAAACCAGCCCTCATCCCAATCCGCATAGAAGCCTGGTCTAGGGGAGCTGCGAAATTTGTCGTTGCTGCTGCTGCTGCTGCGCTGCTGCTGCACTGGTCGTTGCTGCTGCTGCTGCTGCTGCGCTGCTGCTGCACTGGTCGTTGCTGCTGCAGCCCCTGGAAGCATTGAGAGCAGCTTCTCTTGCTGCTGCTGCGAGGCCCACAGCTGGCCTGGCTGCAGCCGTTGCTGCTGCGCCAGCAGCAGCAGCAGCAACAGCTGTCGTCCCCACCGCAGCATTAGTGGCTGCTGCTGGCCTTGCCAGCGCTGCCAGTGCAGCAGCAGCTGCTGCAGCAGCAGCTGCTGCAGCAGCAGCTGCTGCTCGTGTCTGTGTCTCCTTGCCTCTCCGCAGCAAGAGAGGCGCGCTGCAGCAGATTCATTTAGAGCTGCAGCAGCTACACAGCGCAGCAGCAGCCGCTGCTGCTGCTACTCCTATTGTTACTATTCTACTTTTCTATGCGGCAGCTGCTGCTAATCTGCTGCTGCTGCAGCTGCTGCTGCTGCAGCTGCTGCAGCAACTACAGCGCACAAGAGTTAAACTATCAGCAACAATCTGTAGGGCTTGTACATAAACCTCAAACAAAAAGCTTTTCCCTGCAGCAGCACAGCAGCGGCCTGCTGCTGCTGCTGCTGCTGCTGCTGCTGCTGCTTCCGCCTAATCAGTCGCTATCAGATATGCAAACGCTGGGCACGCTTAGTCTGCTGCTGCTGCTGCTGCGGTGGCGGTGCTGCGCAGCAGCAGCAGCAGCAGCAGCTCTGGCTTCACTGCGAGTTGGAGTGGACTTCACTACTGCAGCAGCAGCACTTGCTGCTGCCTTATTGCTGTCAGTCTGCTGCCGCAGCTGCCGCTGCAGCAGAGGCTGCTGCAGCAGATCCTCAGATGCTGCTGTTGCTGCTGTTGTTGCTGTGGGGACCCAGCTGCTAGCTGCGCTGCTGGCATTGCTTGAAGGAGACAGCAGCAGCAGCAGCTGCTGCTGCTGCTGCTGCTGCTGCAGTTGGCGCTTGTGGCTGCTGCTTCCCTTCGCGCCGCGAGCCGCAGAGACCCGTGCAGCAGCACTTGCAGCAGCAGCAGCAGCAGCAGGCTGTTGCTGCAGCAGCAGCAGCTGCTGCTTCTGCTGCTTGTGCTCAGTCACAAAGTACAGCAGCGCTGCCTGCAGCTGTGCGTTTTCTTCTTGGGCAGTTTGTTGCAGCTGCTGCAGCTGCTGCAGCTGCTGCAGCACTTGCTGCTGCTGCCCCTGCAACAATTCTACTTGCTGCTGCAGCTTTTCAGTCTTCTGCTGCTGTTGCTGTATCAGCTGGCGTTGCTGCTGCAGCAGCTCGTGCTGCTGCTGCAGCTGCTGCCGCTGCTGCTGCAGCTGCTGCTGCAGCTGCTGCTGCAACTCTGTCTGACGAAGCCCCAAACGATCCACCTGCAAAAGCACTTCGGGCTGCTGCTGCTGCGCTAGCTGCTGCTGCATTTGCTGCAACTGGTCTTGTTGCTGCAGCTGCTGTTGCTGCTGCTGCTGCTGCTGCTGCTGCTGCAACTGCCGCGATTTGCCCTGCTGCTGCACTGCACCCACAAGCCCAACACCACCTGGGGACCCCCGTGGTGCGTGGGCTGCAAATGCTGCTGCTGCTGCAGTTGCTGCTGCTGCAGTTGCTGCTGCAGTTGCTGCTGCTGGTGCTCCAGGCTCTGCTGCTGCTGCTGCAGGTGCAGCTGCGAGTGCAGGCACTGCTGCTGCTGCGGGCCCTACTCCTTCTGCAGTTCCTGCTGCTGCTGCAGGCCCTGCTGCTGCTGCTGCTGCTGCTGCTGCATGCGGTGCTGCACGGGTGCTGCGCAGCCGCTGCAGCAAAAAGCCCAGCTGCTGCTTCAGCCGCAGGGCATCAGCAGCAAACTCTGGCAGCAGCTTACAAGCTTCGCATGCTGCATCGCTGCAGGTCTGCGAGGGCAGCAGCAGGTGCTGCTCTTGCTGCTGCTGCTGCTCTTGCTGCTGCTGCTCTGGGACACTGTGCCCTGACGCGTGAGCTTGCCTCTGCTGCTGCTGCTGCTGCTGCTGCTGCAGCAGCTGCAGCTGATTGAGCTCGGCCTCAAGACTGGCTAGCTGCGGCTGCAACTGCCGCAGCGGCGAATCCTCCTCAGTTTGCTGCTGCTCCTGCTGCAGCAGCCCAGCAACTCTGTGCTGCTGCTGCTGCTGCTGCTGCTGCTGCTGGCCTTCTCTTGGCTCCGCCTCTGTCCCCGCTGGCTCCGCATACGGCAGCAGCAGCAAGGGCTGCCCATGCCGCAGCGCTTGCTGCTGCCGCTGCTGCTGCAGTGTGCGACAATGCTGCTGCAGCAGCTGCTGGTCCTGCTGCAGCAGCTGCTGTTCCTGCTGCTGCAGTGGCTGATGCCGCAGCGGGGCCACCAGGGAAGGCACGCAGCAAGGACTAACTGCGTCAGCAGCAGCAGCAGCAGCAGTGCAGCCTAGAGCAGCAGCAGCTGCTGCAGCAGCGGGAGCAGCAGCAGCAGCAGCGGGAGCAGCAGCAGCAGCGGGAGGGTGGTACTTCACGTGCACATCTGAGGGACACCTGCTGCTGCTGCTGCTGCCAGAGGGCGCAAGAAGAGTCGGCAGCCACGTGCTGCTGGCGCTGCTGCGGCGGCTGCTGCTGCTGCTGCAGCTGGCGCGGTGCTGCAGCGCCTGGCCTGCTGCAACAGCAGCAGCAGCAGCTGCTGCTGCTGCTGCTGCAGGAGCGTCGCTGCTGCTGGAGGCAGAAGAACCTGCAGATAGTCGCGCGCGCACACGATGTGTGCACTCTGCTGCTGCTGCTGCTGCTTCAATTGCTGCTTGTTCAGCAGCTCGTGGAGTGATGCCGGCGCTGGGTGCAGCAGCAGCACCTGCCACAGCAGCAGCAGCAGCAGCAGCAGCAGCCGCTGCTGCTGCTGCATCCTGAAGAGGGGCCACGCGAGACTCGACGGGGATCCCCAGGCTCACAGCTGCTCGCGAGAGGAGAGACTGCTGCTGCTGCTGCAGATGTTTTTGCTGCAGCAGCTGCTGCTGCAGCAGCTGCTGGTGTTGCAGCAACAGCATCTGCTGCTGCTGCTGCGTCTCGTCGTCAGAAGGCCTTCGTGCTCTGCGTGCCTGTAAGGCCAGAGAAACTTGCTGCTGGTTCCGCATTGCTGCTCCTGCTGCAGCAGCAGCTGCTGCTGCTGCTGCTGCACCTTCACCTAGCTGTGGCAGCTGCACCTTGCCACCAGGGCAAGCAGCAACTTCTGCGGCAGGCTGAGCTGCTGCTGCTGCTCCCTTCTCTTAGTTCTGGTCACTTCAGCGCTTCCGGGTAGTGCTGCTGCTGCAGCAGCGCCACACCAGCAGCAGCAGCAGCAGCAGCAGCAGCAGCAGAGTGCTGCTGCTCCCTTAAGGGGCTTTGGCAGTACGCTTGTTGCAGGAAAAACTCAAAACAGCCGAGAGGGCTACTGTTGCTGCTGCTGCTGTTGCTGCTGCACACGGGGGCCCCTGGAGCAGCAGCAGCAGCAGCAGCAACTGCTGCTGCTGTACAGGCAAAATTGCACAGGCCGGTTTCCGGGTGTACGTACACCTCAAGGGAAGCAGCAAATGCAGCAGATCCAATTTAACTGCAGCAGCAAAAGAGGAAACTGCAGCAGAGGCAGCAGCCCCTGGGGCCCCCAGAGGCGCGAATGGCCTGCGCAAAGTTGCAGCAGTGGCAGCAGCAGCAGCGACTGCTGCTGCTGCTGCTGCTGCACTGAAATTATCTCTTTTTCTTTGTTTATTAACTTTAATTTTGCCGTAACACAAGCCGCAATATCATTTGGAGCTTGTCGCAGGGGCTGAGCCGACAGCTGCTGCTTGTGTTGCTGCTGCTGCTGCTGTTGTAATGGGCAGCAGCAGCAGCAGCAGCAGCAGCAGCAACACCGAGAGCCGCAGCACCAGCTTGATGTAAGGCGCCCTGTGCTTACCTGGGAGCAGCATCACTGTCATCCCCAGCGCTTTAGCGGGAGACACGGGGAGCTGCTGCTGCTGCTGCAGCAGCAGCAGCAAATGTTACAGCAGCAACAGCAGCATGAGGGATGAGGCGCCGAGCTGCTCCGTTCCGGGGTAGATTGTTGTGAGCCTGCAGCAGAAGCAGCCGGAGCAACAGCAGCAGCAGCACTGGCCACAACAGCAGCAGCAACTGCAGCAGCAGCCCAGGAGCCCAGGGGCCCCCGTCATCAGCAGCAGCAGCAGCAGCAGCAGCAGCAGCAGCAGCAGCAATGCTGCAGGGCCCCGGGCTGAGGGCCCCTGCTTCCGCAGGGGGCCCCCAGCCTCTCTGGAGAGAAGCTGTGGACACAGTGCTGCCGGTTGCGTTGGAAGAGGAGGCTGGCCCCACAGCAGCAGCAGCAGCAGCAGCAGCAGCAGCAGCACAGAGCAGCAGCAGCAGCGGCGGCGGCGGGCGCTGCAGCTTCTGCTGCGCTGCTCTCGGCTGGGGCGCAGTCTCTGGTTTGCTGCTGCTGCTGATGTGTGCATGTTTGCTGCTGCACTTCGCCGTCTCTGTGGCGGGCCAGGAAGGTGGGAAGCAGCAGCTCTCTCAATAATAAATAAATAAATAAATAAATAAATAAATAAATAATTAATTAATTAATTAAAATTATTTATTTATTAATTGGAGCCCCAGGTGCAGCTTTTAAGGCGTAGCTGCAGGCAGAAAGAGCAGCAGCTAGAGAGGCGCCTCTGCAGCAATTGCTGCTGCTGCTGCTGCTGCTGCTGCTGTTGCTGCTGCTGCAGCAAACGCGTACTTTGGGTCCTGCCACGGCACTGCGCGCATGTCTCACCACCTTCTCTTTTTGCTGCTCTCCTTCCAGTTCGTGCTGCTGTCGCTGCGGCTGCCGCTGCCGGCCTTTCCTGCTGCTGCTGCTGCTGCTGATATAGGGCCCTACAGACACAGCAGCAGCAGCAGCAGCAGCAGCAGCATTCCCACTCTAGGCGCAGCTGCCCGCACTCTGGAAACCCACGCGGTGTATGCACACCTGGATGGGGCATCGACGCCCTCCAAGCCAGTAAGCAGCAGCAGCAGCAGCAGCAGCAGCAGCAGCAGTAACTAGAGCAGCAGCTGCAGAGGCGGCAGCAGCAGCAGCAGCTGCAGCAGCAGTAGGGAACGGCGTGCTGCTGCTGTTTTGTCGCACTGAAGGCTTGGTGCTGCTGCTGCTGCTGTTGCTGTTTAAAGGAACATTGCTGGGTGCAGCAGCTGCAGCAGGAGCCACTGCTGTTGCTGCTGTGGGAAGCACAGTGGCTCTGATTGCGATACTGTTGCTGCTGCTGCTGCTGCTGCTGCTGCCACGTTGACTTGCTGCTGCTGCTGCTGCCTGTCACAGGCGTCTGGAGATTCTCGAGTTGCCCCTCTCCCCCTGCAGCTAGAAGGATCCCCAGGTTAGTTTCGCTGAAGCAGCAGCAGCAGCAGCTGCTGCTGCAGCAGCAGCAGCAGCTGCTGCTGCTGCTGCTGCTGCACGAATTGCGCATGTTTGCTGCTGCTGCAACTTTGTCTACTGCTGTTGCTTCTGCTGCTTGTATTGGAGCGAAGCAGCAGCTGGCCCGCGTGCTATGCCTGCAGGTCTGCTGACTAAAGTGCTGCTGCTGCTGCTGCTGCTGCTGTTTGTGCTGCTGCTGTTTGTGCTGCTGCTGTTGCTGCTGCAGCTTTGTCGGCGACTAGGCGACAGGAGTCTCTTATATGCTGGAACTGTCCGTGCGAAAGTTTCTTACTGCTGATACATTTGCTGCTGCTGCTTTTGCTGCTGCTGCTTTTGCTGCTGCTGCTTTTGCTGCTATTGTCGCTGTTGCCGTTGCCGCTGCTGCTGCTGCTTGCTGCTGCTGCTGCTGCTATTGCTGCCGCCACAGCAGCAGCGGCTGCAGCTGTTCTCGCAGCATCTGCGGAAGCTGCAGGTCTTGTGTAGCTTGTGTTCTTGTTGTCCATTCCTTCATCGTTGCTGCTCCCTCCGCTGCTGCTGCTGCTGCTGCTGCGCTCGCTTTTGCTGCTGCTGCTGCTGCTGCTACACTCCCTGCAGCAGCAGCCGCTTCTTTCGCGGCCGCTGCTGCTGCTGCTGCTGCTCCGCCCTCCGCTGCCTCTCCGCTCGCTGTGCGCCACTCCCTGCCGCCCCATTCGCTGCTGCTGCTGCTGCTGCTGCTGCTGCTGCTGCTGCTGCAGCTGTGTGGCTGTCGCTGCACCTGCTGCTGTACTGCGTGGGATTCCACGCAGCTTCTCTGGGGCTGCGGACTTACGGCGGCGTCGAGCGAAGTCTTTACTCGCTGCAAACCTGCAGCCACCTCAGCTTCTTCTCCTTCGGCTCCAACTTGTCAGAGGGTTTAGGGTTTAGGGTTTAGGGTTTAGGGTAATGGGTTTAGGGTTTAGCGGCTAGGGGTTAGGGTTAGAGGCTGGGGTGTGGATAGGGGATAGGGGTTAAGGTGTAGGGGTTAGGGTTTAGGCTTTAGGGTCTAGGGTCCAGGGTTTAGGGTTTAGGGTTGGGGCGTTAGGGTTTAGGGTTTGGGTGTTAGGGTTTAGGGTTTAGGGTTTAGGGTTTAGGGTTTAGGGTTTAGGGTTTGGGTTGACTGGCTTCCTGGTCTTGACTTTGCTGAGCCTCTTCCGCGTGTTTGTGCTGCCACTGCCGCCGCCTCTGCTGCTGCCGCTTCTGCTGCTGCCGCTTCTGCCGCTGCTGCTGCTGCTGCTGCTGCTGCTGCTGCTGCTGCTGCTGCTGCTGCTGCTGCTGCTGTGTTGGTGGCGATGGTAGTGCTGCTGCTGCTGCTGCGTGGGATGATGATGATGCTGCTGGTGATGATGATGATAGTGTTGCTGCTGCTGGTGATGATGACGACAGTGTTGCTGCTGCTGCTGCTGCTGCTGCTGCTGGTGTTGATTGTGATAGTGCTGCTGCTGCTCCTGCTTGTGATGACAATGGTCCTGCTGCTGCTGCTGGTGATGATGATGATGATGCCGCTGCTGCTGCTGCTTCTGCTGCTGATGGTTGCTGCCGCGTTGCCGTGCATCTGCTGATTGCGGAGCTGTTGATATTGCTGCTGCTGCTGCTGCTGCTGCAGCAGCAGCTTCTGCTGCAGCAGCTGCTGCTGCTGCACCTGCTGCTGCTGTTTCGACTGCAACATTTGTTTCTGTCTGTTTCCGCTCGTTTTTTTTGCTCTTTCTGCCTCTCCAATGCATTAACAACTATTTATTCATTTATTATTACTAATTATTTATTTATTTAATTATTTATTTTATTTATTTATTTATTTTTGTTTGGTTTTTAGGGCCTCCCTGAACTCGCTGGTGGTGTGGGGCTGCGGCTTCATCTTTTATGTTTCTGTTTATGGTTTGCTGCTGGCCCCATACTGCTGCATGCATTTGCTGCTGTGGTTCATTTTCGTTTTGGTTTCTTTTTTCAAACACAAGGAGATCTTCCCTCTAGCCCCCCTGGATGAAGACAGTCAGCCCTGCTGCTGCTGCTGCTGCTGCTGCTGCTGCTGCTGCTGCTGCTGTGGTTGTTGCTACTCTTTCTGCTGCTGTTGTTGCTGCTGCTGCTGCTGCTGTGGTTGTTGCTACTCTTTCTGCTGCTGTTGTTGTTGCTGCTGCTGCTGTGGTTGTTGCTACTCTTTCTGCTGCTGTTGTTGTTGCTGCTGCTGCTGTGGTTGTTGCTACTGTTTCTGCTGCTGTTGTTGTTGCTGCTGCTGCTGCTGCAAGAAGACTGGGTGTCTTGCTGTTGCTGCTGCGGGTGCTGTTGTTGGGCTGGCTGCTGCTTCTGCTGAGGGGGCTGCTCGTGGTCTCTGTGCTGCAGCCTTCATGTTGCTGCTGCTGCTGCTGCTGCTGTTAGAACTATTGCTTCTGCTGCGGCTGCTGTTCCTGGTCCTTTTGCTGCTGCTGCAGCTGTCGGTGCTTCTTGTCGAGCTGCTGCGTTCTGCTGTGGCTGCGGCTCGCGGTTTTCCTGCCTCAACCTTCCTGCTGCTGCTGCTGTTGCTGCTGCTGCTGCTGTTGCTGCTGCTGTTGCTGCTCGTGCGTGTTGCAGCCGAAGTGGAAACAGTGCTTATAGGAGATGGCGTTTCTCAGAGGGGCAGGGGGTCCTATGCGCCAGCAGCAGCAGCAGCAGCAAAAGCAGCAGCAGCAGCAGCAACAGCAGCAGCAAGCCGCAGCCGGCACGTAGGAGGAAGGGGCAGCAGGAGCCGCAGCAGAGGTGCGGCTTAAGCAGCAATTACAGTTTGGTGCTGCTGCAGCCACTACAGCAGCAGCTGCTGCTCCGGTAACCTGTTGCTGCTGCACTCTGTTGACTGCAAGAGCAGCAGCAGCAGCAGCAGCAAAGCTACAGCTTCTTTCTCGCATGCACGTGTATCGGCAACTGCGCAGCAGCAACAGCAGCAACAGCAGCAACAGCAGCAACAGCAGCAACAGCAGTAACATCAAATGAAGTGTTGTGACGCCTCCAGATACTAAAAGAAGCAAAGGCGGGAGAGGGCTAGCTGCAAGTAGCTGCAGCTAGTTGCAGCTAGCTGCAGCAACAAGCCGCAGCTAGCAGCAGCTAGCTGCGGCTGGCTGTGGCTAGCTGCTGTCCACGACTCGCTGCTGCTTCTAGCTAGCTACAGCTAGCGACACCCAGGTTTGGCTAGCTGCACATAGCTTTAGCTAGCTGTGCATCTTCGCAGCTAGCTGCAGCTAGCTGCAGCTAGTGTGGAGGACAGCAGCTAGCTGTGGCTAGCTGTAGTGGGCCCCGAGCAACTCTGTATACTGACGCCCAGCTGCAGCTAGCTGCTGCTAGCTGCAGCTAGCTGCTGCTAGCTGCAGCTAGCTGCTGCAGCTAGCTGCTGCAGCTAGCTGCTGCAGCTAGCTGCAGCTAACTTCACATAGCTTCACCAAGCTGCAGCTATGTGGAGAGAGCTGCAGCAAGCCGCGTACGGTGCAATGTACAGCTCGCCACGAATAGTGTACAGTAGCAGCAGCAGCAGCAGCAGCGACAGCAGCAGCAGCAGGCAGCTGCAGTGCAGCTACAGCAGCCGCCAGCTGAGCAGCATTAGCAGCTGCCGGAGCAGCTGCAGCAGCTGCAGCAGCCACAGCAGCAGCAGCGGCAGCAGCAGCAGCAGCAGCATGCAGGCAGCTGCTCAACCCCTCCTTGCTGCTCATGCCTCGCGATTTACTTCTGCTCAGCAGCAGCAGCCGGCGCTGCGCCTGCAGCACAGTTTGCTGCTGCTGAGCAGCAGCTGGCGCTGCAGCACTGCTTCGCTGCTGCTGCTGGGGGAAAGCCGCAGCCTGCAGCCCAGCAGCAGCAGCAGCAGCAGCAGCAGCAGCAGGGGCCAGGTGACCCTGGGGGCTGCATGCATGCAAATCAGAAGATCTTTTTGGCCAAACGCCCCGCCCAAGTGGCCCCGAATTGGGGCATTTGGAAGCTGCTGCTGCAGTTGCTGCAGGTGCTGCAGCTTGTTTTAATTTACTTTGTTTTATTTTACTCTTTATTTCATTTATTTTGTTTATTTCAATGTGTAGAGGGGGCAGTGCCCCCAGGGCGGTCTGCCTGTGCTGCAGCAGCAGCAGCAACAGCAGCAGCAGCAACAGCAGCAGCAGCAACAGCAGCAGCAGCAACAGCAGCAGCAGCAACAGCAGCAGCAAGACGTCCCTGGGGGTGTGCAGCAGATACATTTGTGCCTGGGCCGGCGAACGCTCGGCGATAGCAGCAGCAGCAGCAACAGCAACAGCAGCAGCAACACAGCAGCGGCGCCAGCAGCAGCAGCAGGAACGACCGCAGCAGCCACGGCAATGCAAAGTGCTGCAGCAGCAACAGCAGCCGCCGCACCAACACAACCGCAGCGGGAGCGGCAGCAGCAAGAGCTGCAGATTTACCAACAGCAACAACAGCAGCAGCAAAATGAAAAAAAGCTGCACCAACGCCGGGAAGAGCAGCAGCAGCAGCAGCAGCAGCAGCAGCAGCAGCAGCAGCAGCAGCGCGATCCCTAGCAAAAGACACCGAAGAAGCAGCAGTGCAAACAGCACCGCAGTCAGCCGCAGTGATGTGCCCAGCAACAGCAACATCAATAATACCAGCAGCAGCAGCAGCAGCAGCTGCTGCTGCTGCTGCTGCTGCTGCTGCTGAGGGCTACGGCTCCAGGAGGAAGACAACTTTAACAGAAGTTGAAATAAAACATAAATTATTAAATTTAATTAATTAAATATGCTTAATTGCTAGCAGCAGCAACAGAAGCTGCAGACAGACCAGCAGGGGGCCTCCTGGGGCCCCGGCATGCAGCAACCTCAGGTGTCTATACACCTGAAAATGTACGCGTGCAGCTCTCTTGTTTTTAATTAAATGTATTTTTTAATTAATGCAGTATCTTCTGCAGAAGCAGAGAAGAACAAGAGGCCGAACTGCCTGCCTGCGAAGGCATGCGTGCAACCCAGCAGCAGCAGCAGCAGCAGCAGCAGCAGCAGCAGCAACAGCAGCAGACACATCCTCTCTCGCTTCTTCCTGAGGCTGGCTCTTGGAGTCCAGCAGCACAGCAGCTGCGCTGCAGCCTACGGCGCTGCAGGGAATAACAGCAGCAGCTGCTGCTGCTGTTACTGCAGCAGCAACAGCAACTGCTGTTGCAGCAGCAGCAGCAGCTGCTGCTGCTGCTGCAGCGTCCTCTGCTGCTGCAGATCAATAGCAGGAGCTACAGAACACGCTCGAGGCACTCACAACTTCAAACCCTCCCTCCTCCTTGGGAGCCTCCGCGTAAAACCCCAAACCCTAAACCCTAATTTAGGGTTTAGGAGCAACTCACGGTCCTCCTACGTGAGCACCGTAGTGCCCCCACGTGGAAGCTGCCCATTAGGGTTTAGGGCCCGGAGCTGGGGCCGGGGTTTAGGGTTTAGGGTTTAGGGTCTAGGGACTAGGGTTTAGGGTTTAGGGTTTAGGGTTTGAAGATGTGCGACGTGACCTTCATTGCCCGGACCTCGGACGGTCTGCTGCTGGCGGAGGCTTGGTCGCCGCACTTCGGCAGCAGCAGCAGCAGCAGCAGCAGCAGCAGCCACATGCAGCAGCAGGAGCAGCAGCAGCTGAAGCAGCAAGTCAAGGGCGTGCTGCAGCGGCTGCAGGGAGGGGCACCTCAGGGGGCCATAGAGGCGGGGCGCCTGCGATTCTAGTAAGGCCCTGCTGCTGCTGCTGCTGCTGCTGCTGCTGTTGTGCTGCTGTAGCGGCTGCTGCTGCTTTTGCTGCTGCTGCTGCTGCTGCTGCTGCTGCTGGATGTTGATTGTGCGTTCACCTTGCCAGTGCCAATACACCTGAGCTGTTTGTACACCTGAGCTGCCTGTACACCTGAGCTGTCTGTACACCTGAGCTGTCTGTACACCTGACTTTGGGGTTGTGCAAGTCTTTTGTCTAATTGCTTTTATTAAAGTTATTTGAGTCTCTCTTTTTAATTATGTTCTTTTGTCTTTTTATTTATTCTGGAGTGTCTGTACAGCTGAGTGTGGGGTGTCTGTACACTTGGGAAAGCGGTGGCTGTCTGTGTCTGTACACCTGGGAGGGTGTGGGGTGTCTGTACACCTGGGGAAGTGTGGGGTGTCTGTACACCTGGGCAGTTGGGGAGTCTGGGGTGTCTGTACACCTGGGCAGTGTGGGGTGTCAATACACCTGGAAATTGTGGGGTGTCTGTCCACCTCGCCGCTTTGGGGTGTCTTTCCGCCTTGCCCCTGTGGGGTGTCTGTACACCCGGCAGTGTGGGGTGTGGGGTGTCTGTACACCTGAAAGTGTGTGTGGGGTGTCTGTACACCCGGGAGTCTGGGGTGTCTGTCCACCTGGGCGTGTGGGGTGTCTGTACACCTGAGAGTGTGGGGTGTCTGTACACCTGGCCTTGTGGGATGTCTGTCCACCTGAGAGTGTGGGGTGTCTGTCCACCAGAGAGTGTGGGGTGTCTGTACACCAGGCCCCTGTGGGGTGTCTGTATACCAGCGAGTGTGGGGTGTCTGGGGTCAATTTTTTGCGCTTTTAGCGTGTCTGTACACCAGAGAGCGTGGGGTGTCTGTACACCAGCGAGTGTGGGGTGTCTGTGGGGTCATTTGTTTGCGTGTTTGGGGTGTCTGTACACCAGAGTGTGGGGTGTCTGTGGGGTCATTTGTTTGCGTGTTTGGGGTGTCTGTACACCAGAGTGTGGGGTGTCTGTGGGGTCATTTGTTTGCGTGTTTGGGGTGTCTGTACACCAGAGAGTGTGGGGTGTCTGTGGGGTCATTTTTTTGCGTTTTTGGCTGTCTGTACACCAGCGAGTGTGGGGTGTCTGGGGTCATTTGTTTGCGTGTTTGGGGTGTCTGTACACCAGAGTGTGGGGTGTCTGTGGGGTGATTTGTTTGCGTGTTTGGGGTGTCTGTACACCGGAGTGTGGGGTGTCTGGGGTCATTTTTTGCGCTTTTTTCAGCTACAAAGTGAGCCAAGGCGTGTCTTACTTGACAGTTTGTGCTGCTGCTTATCCGCGGCGTTTGGCGTTTTGTTTTTTGGAAGAAATTTCGAATTCTTTCGAAGACGAACTTCGCCTTTCTTTCGGCGCCCGCGGAGTCGACGTTTTTGCAATGCTCGAGACCCTCGAGACTCCCTACCACTTCATCAAGTTCGGTCCGCAGCAACTTTTTATTTATTTATTTATTATTTATTTATTATTTATTTGTTTATTATTTATTTATTTATTATTTATTTATTATTTATTATTTATTTATTTATTTATTTAGTTAGTTAGTTTGTTTGTTTGTTTGTTTGTTTGCTTGTTTGTTTGTTTATTTATTTATTTGTTTATTTATTTATTAAATTTATTTATTTATTAACTATTTATTTATTTATTTGTTTATTTATTTGTTTGTTTGTTTATTTGTGTTTGTTTGTTTGTTTATTCGGTTTTGGTGCTTTTGGTTCGGCCAGTTAGAGCCAACAGTCTTTAATTGCAAGTCAGGGAAACGCCGCGTGCAAACGCCAGCTGCAGCAGCAGCAGCAGCAGCAGCAGCAGCAGCAGCAGCAGCAGCAGCAGGGGGTGTGCGCGTTTGCTGCTGCAGAAAGAGTGCTGCAGAAGAAAAGACAAGAATATGCTGATCCTGCTTCCTCAAGGTCTTTGGCGCGGCTTAATGACTCTCTTGCAGAAGTTTCAG